TTTCAGCAACGAAAAGTTCTCGTGATGGTCTACTTATCTAATAAAGGCCGGTCCGATCTGTTGCAACTTAACGTTTTTGTAAGGACTCCTATTCTTTTAGTATAGCATAGTATGAATCTTCGTTTTCCTAATAGTTACAATTCTGAACATTTCAAAAAAGATTTGGTTACAATGGAGCATTCTGTAGTACAATTTTTAAGGCAAACAATTAAGCCTAGTCTGAGATTCGAGTCAAATAATGAAAGACTTATCATGTCTCAGTTTCGTGGCTAGATAGAGAATGATTCATAATATAAAGAAAGAAAGTCCGTTTACGATGAAAATTTTAGTGGAAATAGAAGAGGAATCATGTTTTTCAATGGAGGATTGAACGCCATTAAATCTCTTTTCTAGCTCGAAATAGTATCACATAAAAAAAGTTAACGATGTTGATCTTCTCTCTCAGCCTTGCTAAGGTGATAGAACTTGCGCCGGTACTGGCGATCAGACTTCATCGAGATCTACTTGTGGTTAAAGCTTCAAGCCAAATTGTTCCTTTTTGGGTAGTTTTTTCCTAACTGTGTACCATTTGTTCACTATTGTAAATTCTAAAGAATTCACTTGAACGAGATGAACGTCGTGCTGATTTCACGAGAATGCTTTCGAAAACTAACGATTTTTCAAGGAGGTAATTATGAAATCAGTAGAATCAGTCAAAAACACCATCTTTCTGTTATTTTTGTTGCAGAGCGAATTCTTTTAAAAAAACATAAACTTTTCGGAACCATTTTGCAAATGAAAAAAGTATGACCGGGCTTAGGACGACTGCCGTAACCTGATTTTTGACAAATCCCAAACTGGGCCAAAGCGCAACATCTTGGAGACAAATAGTGTAGAGTCTTTTATTGAACAGTTTTTTTTTCATGTTTAGAAGAACCAGTACTGCCCGGTGACGTAGCTGCTCTCAAGCAGATTACCTCTTCCACGAGCATTCCTATTGCCACTGGAGAACGTTTATTCACGCGTTGGCAGTTCAACGACCTTATCGAGCAGCAAGCCGTAGCCATTGTTCAGCCCGATATCTCCCACTGTGGGGGCATTTTTGAAGCTCGGAAGATAGCCTCCATGGCCGAAGCACGAAATATTGCTGTAGCACCTCATTGCCCATTGGGACCGATTGCTTTAGCATCCTCACTGCAATTTGCCTCGTGCACACCGAATTTCCTTTGTCAAGAGCATTTAACATTGGGTAGTGACTATTTGAAAGTACCATTTCAGGTAAAAGAATATCATTCATTTTTTTTTGTTTTGAGTGTTTTGCATTTAGGTCAAAGAAGGCTATGTGGATGTACCTTATCTGCCTGGACTGGGCATTGAGGTAGACGAGGATAAAGTACGAATGGGATTGTTTCCGGGCGATTGGGATCTACCACAGTCCTGGCTCAAAGACGGCAGTTTTGCCGAGTAGTATCAATGCTTATGACTTCACTTTTCATTAGTCAAACGATGTTTCAAAAGAAACGAACACTTATTTCTGCCGCTGATGAAATAGAAGTATTTGTATCGTTTTATATAAGACTGAAGAAGACAAACAGTTTAGACCTATACCTCTTTTCAGCTGCTCACTTTCACTTCTTCGTACATCGAGAAATCGACGTAGATTTCAGTCATATGTTTTCTTTCGACATAAATATTGGCATTTTTTGAGAATTCGAAGCAATAGTAACCACAAAAACGTCTCCTGTTCAATTGGAAAATTCGAAGGTTTTGCAACTAAATTTTCTCTATTTTGCATCAACCCAGATAATGTGCGATTCACATGAACACCCTCGAGACACCATAAAAAGACCAAAACACACGTGCAACAATCACAATTGACATAGAATAGGCGTACGTCATAGCCGGCTGTAGAAAATAGAAGCAAGAGTGTGGCTGTCGGTATGGGTGTGGATGTAGCTCTTTGCTTCAATGACACACACACACCACACCCACCCCACCTACCCACACCCACATCCACACCCACACCTACACACCCACACCCACCCACACCCACACCCATTCTTTCATAATTTCTTCGATTAATTTTCTATCCGTTTTATTATGAGCAGACTTGAGATCGATGGTGATTGGAGGATAGTCATATTGTTGAGTTGTTGTTACATATTGATTCGAGTGCTTGAAATTTACTGACATTTTTTCCATTGGCATAATAATTGTTTCATACTCGTGAGACTCTTCACCTTCAGATCTTACTCTTTTGTTTATCCTGGGCGTCTGAAGATCAGGATTTAAGAAAAAATCTGTTGATGATTCATTGTTTATTTCCATATTAATAATTTATTTGTTTTTTTAATCTGTGATTGGATGATGCACTGTAATAAGAATCAATAAAACACGTCTAATAGCTACACTGAATAGAGGAGAAATGTTTGGTGAGACGTATCGATCCATGAGAGACTATTCAAATTCCTTGCCCTATCTTGAAAAATATGGTCATATTTGTCAGCCATTCCTTCCTTTTAATTATCTGTCATTAACTGCTGTCTACAATAATATTGGTATAGTTCATGATTCGATGAGCAACTTCAGAGTTGCATTATTGTTCTCTAAACAAGCACTTCAAATACGACAAAAAACTCTTTCTACTGATCATCTCTCATTAGCTGTTAGTTATAGTAATACGTCATGGATATTCGAAAGTCTAGGACATTATCAGACAGTATTCGAATACTTTGAGCATGCTTTCGGGTTAGTATAAATCACGCGAATAATTATGTTTTCATTCAACTTACTATTGTTTTTTTATGCCTTCACTTTTCAAAGTAGTCATTGTTGCAACAAACGTTTCTCATCATTATATAGATAGATTTTAAGAAAAACAAAAATTCCAACTGATGATTATGAAAACATAAGCAGCATTGATTAAAATATATAGGACATCTTTTCGTCCTTTATTTGCTCTCTCAAATGTTTATTTTTTAACTTACCTTTTTGTTTGCTCTTTTGTTATTTTTTGAAAAAGTGATACAATACAGGATAGAAAGAAAAAATGTTATTGGTTTTTCACAACTTGTATCATTACGTCAATGAAATCTGTTGAGAGTAACGATGAAGAAAGGATGTAGTTGTGAGTGTGGATATGGCTAATAGTCAAGGTGCAGTGGATGTGTGTGCGAGTGAAAAGAAGTTTGACCCACACTTGCATCCAACACCACACCCACCCACATGTAGTCATGTTCGAGTTCATCTAGTGTATACAGGACACTAAAGTTTTCTTCGTAAAGCTGTCTGCGTCTGTCAACAAGTTCTTCTTTCGCATTATTACACAGTTTTAGTTTCAAAAGGTAGATGAATGAATATTTGAAAGAACTTTGATTTTATGAAAGAGAAATTTTGAATTATGCCATAGAATATCACATTTGATCACATGATAAAGCAACAGAAAAAATAATGAAATTGTCTCATTTAAACTGAATCTCTTTGGAACACGGGGTTTTGTAATATTTCAAAATAATGTTTGAAGCTTCTGAGACATATACGATACAAATTACCATCAAATTTCTCTACTTAATGATAGAATGAAAAACGATAAACATTTGCTTTTCTTTAAGCTGATGATTGAGTGCCAGTTCGAACAAGACGTCCTTTATTTCTTTGGCTGAATGATGAAGTTCAAATATTGTGCGCTACTTCGGTTGTGATCACTTCAAATAAGTAAAATAATACTTTAACTGTTAATAGTTTGGAAAACTATGCAGTATATACTCAAGTTACTACCTAAGAATGAGAAACTACAGTAATAATAATTATTTGACTACCAGTGTTCAAACACAAGTCAAAGTAATGGCAAAGAAGCTGTGAAGATGTTGCTTTATGAAGAGCGCGATTTTTCATTGCAATACCATTCCTAACAAATCTTGTATCACAATTGATGAATATAACGCATTGATTAAGAAATTATATAGTTGGATACGTTTCCTTGTAAGAACAATAAAAAGGTTAGTATTTTTTTAGCACAACAAAGAAAAAAAGAATACCATGAGATCAAAAAGAAGAATGATGCAAATGTCTGTGTAGATAAAAACCGTTTTCTTTTTCATTTTTACACTTGGAAAATACAAACTTACAATATTTTCTTGTAAGACACATTGTGAGTAAGTGTCTGCCAAATGCTTGTTTAGATGGATCCGAGCTGAAAGTGAGTCACATCACTGACACTACGTTGTTTGAAAACCGACTCTTAATTCGTCAAAATCACATCCGAAACACAATCAATTAGTACCTATCAATTTGTCATGTGCTTTTCAATGTTAAAACAAACTCAACACTATTTCATGCAGATAAAAGTTGGTAAAGTTTGTTACATTTCTTAGGACGTTGTGTGAACATTTTTTATTTGAATCCCAATAACACAATTCAAGCTGTATCACATTTGCATTATTGTCTTTGGTATTTTTTAAGTTCTTGTGTTGCACGATTCTTGTACTTCTGTCTAGCAAATAGAGCGAAAAAGAATGCATGTCAAAAGAAAAGAGAAAAATGAAAATCGAGTGCACCAACGACGATAACTTTTGTTGACTCAAACTACAAGAGGTATGCATGTGTCAGATATGTTTGTCGCGACAAAAGCTCGTTTGGTCGTCTGTCGATCATCAGTTTGGATTGTTATCCAAACTCGAAAGTGGAACAATTTCGCAGCAACATCAATGAGCAAACTGATCTCGAGTTACTTTCATCGTACGACTTCATTCCCATTTTAATTTCATTCGAGTGAATAGTATACCCGCTAGGCTTTATTTGATAATTTCTTTGTGCTTAAAAAATATAGAAACACACACAGCACTCAGAGATGCTTTTGAAGTAGTTAACTAAAAGTTTGCAAACAGAAAATAATAGCGTTACTTCTATAAGGAAGAAAAAATCAATATAGGATTATTTGCCTTTCGATGCTAGAAATTGATCTAATTTTGCATTAACTTGATACCAGCACTTGATTTCTGTTGAAAGTCTTTTTAGCCATGCCTCAATGTTTGGGTAAGCTTTGTATGAAGCATCTGCAATTGGCAACATTATCACTTCACATGCTAATGCAATATCGGCAATTGACAATTGATTTCCACCAGCAATATAGTTATTTTTACTCATGGCTTCCTCCATAAAGCTTAAACTTGATTTCAATACTGCGTCACCTTCTTTTCGTAATTCATCGATGGTTTGTTGCGAATACTTTTTAATAGGAGCCAATAAATTTGCTCTTATTAAACACATTGATCCATGACGTAAATTCATGTGATGCCAGTCTAACCAATAATCGACTCGAGCACGTTGTTTAATATCATTTGGCTAATAATGATCAGGTAGATTCCTGCTTACACATATATAGCGCATTATTGTATGAGACTCACCCAAGTGAAAATCATTATCAACAATCGACGGAACTTTTCCAGCTGGATTCACCTGTTTGTATTCAGAACTTTGAGTTTCTCCTTGCATGCAGCTGATTTCATGAACTTGATGTTCAATATTATTTTCCATTAGTAACATAGCTACGGCACGAGAAGGCTGAGATAACCAGTCGATATATAAATGAAGAACCATTGCAGCAATCTAAATAATAGTGAAAAGACAGTAAGAAGATTTACGTCGAAAAGAATTTCAGGATTTCTAGTTGTACAAAGAATCGAATCAGAACTCTATGAGATCTTCTAAGGGATACAATTATTACTTCTACGAACGATATGTTCAGAAAAACTCTACGGATACATATTTTTGAAACAAAAAAGTGTAAAATACTTTCGAAATAACTCGCTAAAGCACAAGAATACAACGATTCAAAGCATGCACTTTTATGAATTCTTTTTAGTTAACTAGATGAAAATCAAAAACGAAAGAGGAGTCCGCAAATTGCTTCTCAACATTGTAATGATCTTGAGTCATACATAAAGTTTTAGCTTTTACAACAACTTATTTTCAGACACACAAAGTCAAGTTTGCTAAACTATTCAAAAGCCAAAAAGAATATTATCTTATCAAGTATATTCGTTATAGTGTGTTCGAGTAGAAGGTTGAATAAATAATAGAACTGTGGTACATAAGAAAAGAAAAAAAAAAATTTTTTTTTCTTCTCTCTGTCTATCGGGCGTTAACTATATTTTTTTCGCTCTCCTCTTTTGTCAGTAGGACATTATCAGAATTTTTTCAGGTAAATAGTAATAAATGCACAATCATACCGAAAGCCATGTAATTACACAACAACCCTGACAGTTGAAAAACGCTGTTTTACCGTTTAACGGTGATGCATTGTCGAAGGTACCCATTTATCACAAAAACGATTTCGAAGCAAGTGCTTTTACCATGTAAATGATAAATTATAACTATGCTAAATATAAATTTGGTGACAGTTAAACATATGATTTTTCATGATTCAATATGTACTAAACGATTCTTGGTTTATTTAACCAATATTTAATCAAATCAATAAGTAGTTTTATGGGTGTGGGTGAGGGTGTGGGTGTGGGTGTGGGGTGTGGGTGGGTGGGGTGTGGGTGTGTGGGTGTGGGTGGGGGTGTGGGTGTGGGTGTGGGTGTGTTGTGTGGCTGTAGGTGTGGCTGTGGCTGTGGCTGTGGCTGTGCGTGAGGGTGTGGGTGAGTATATATGTCTTGTCTTCACCCACACCCTATACGAAGAAATCCTTTTGAAACTAATCATATTTGACAAACATGCAAAAGAACCCATGAAAATGACCTACCAATTAGATGAAATTTTGATTTTGACCTTTGATTTAGATAGAGGGACTTGAGATCTATAGTTCAAGACACAATGCAAATGGTTCTCTTATTACATTCTAACGTTGAGAAAATGAAATCATGTACTTACATGCGCAAATAATGGGAATTTAGTTGATTTTTTTACTAAGTTTTCGCACTTTTTATCATAGTAACTTGAGATTTCGATGAACATGTAAGAGAAAGTAAGAAAGCTCATTGTGTCTTGAACTACAGATCTCAAGACCCTCTATTTAAATCAAAGGTCAAAATCGAAATTTCATCCAATTGGTAGGTCATTTTCATGGGTTCTTTTGCATGTTTGTCAAATATGATTAGTTTCAAAAGGATTTCGTCGTATACATTATTGGAGAAAAAGAAGTTCGGCCTCCACCCCTTTCGATTAGCAAAAACCACAGGTCGATAGGTGTTACGGTTCTTGAGTTATTGAACTTACACCCACTCCTACCTAATTCTGGCGCGGTCAATAGTCTTGTAGAGAAAAGTGATCTGAACAAATTTTATATTATCGGTTTCCATAGAATGTCATGGTTCTGAAATACAATAAAAGTTTTACGAGCTCTGTTTCGGCGGAATGTTAATTGGGGGTCCATAAAACGTTTGTTGTAATAAAGAATCACGATATTCTGCGAAAGCGAAAAATATCTCATTTTGTTCAGCTCACTTTTTTCTACAACACTACATGTAAAAAATTCCTGATTTTTTATTTATTTAAACGGTAGGAGACTCATAAAACAACAAAATTCGTGACAGAATCACGCGTTACATGGACAGACCACTTGATTATTTGTTTTTTTATTTTTCAAAATAAATCGATCGATTTGATGAAAACACTTAGTCAAAAATTAATTCTTGCTGAAGCAACGGATGTTCCAGGTGCAACTATTGTACTATTTTATCTCCATGATGGAATTCATAGAACGTTACGAAAACAGTAAGTATTATCTACCATGTATTCATCACTATGAAAATAATAATTTTTTTTTTCTAACGACAAAGAGTGTCCAACTCTTTTAACTCCACCTTAGTTACATATAACACATTTTGAACGGGCGTAAGAGTTCATAAAATTCTTCTTCTGTAAATAATAAGTATTTATTTTTATTTATATAATAAGTATAAAGAGTTATAATAAGCGTTTGTGACGGTTAAGTGACACTCACATTCTGTGTTCAAATCAACTCATATCTTCCGAGCTATATCATTCAACTGTGATTATTTTGTCTTTGACTAGGTTATTGAGCAGTTCTCGATTCTCTGCCAGTTGTATTATATCTAGAAAATTTTGGCCTCGGCGATTTCGTCGTTGAACGTCACATCCTATCTTGATGAGCAGTTGAATTATTCGATGCCGATCACCGCGAACCTTTAGACAAACATAGAGTAACGGATTATTTCCATCTTTGTCTAAGAGATGCACGAGAGACGGTGATGATCTTATTAAGTGTTCAAGTAGCTTGTTTTCTTTCTTGTCTAACAGTACAAATATGAAATCTTCATTCATTAGCCAAGTACCTAATGGCTTCTCATCTATAAACATTGTAAGCAATTGTCTGCCCATTCGATTTTCTGTCAACATTTCAACATTTATTCGACTATTACTTCGCTTGTTAAAGAAATTTCTCACAGATTCAACTTGACGATATAAGAATAGTATTAGATCTAGCTGATTTTTTTCAATTAAATTCACTAACATAAATCTGATTGCATGATCCAAATTTTCAATCCATGATGATGTTGAGCTTGAAACACACTCATGCAGTACAATTTTCAATATATCCCATTGAATAGCCTCTATGAACGGTCCGTTCTCTATTACTAATTTAGTGGAAGAAAATACATCCAATATATCAAAAATACATTCTTGAAGCCAGCTTGGATGATTAAAAACTTGTTTCTCACATTTGATCACCAAAATGAGAAGATCTACTACAGCTTGATACCATTTAATATCAATCGAAGTGCATATCGATTTCAAATAAAAATATTGTAACCGATAGACAGAATAGAATAGGAAATAACGAACCGTTCGACCACCATTACCGACAACATCACGATTTTTTAAAAGCTCAGGATTTGAAATAATTAATATTTTGAACATTTCAATAAATGGAGAGTCCACAAGGAAAGCTTCAGACTCAGTGTAATGAATATGAGAAAGTAAGTATCGATTGATTGCTTTGGCAAGATTAAAACAAACAAGTCCATAGTCATTACATTCAAGACGAGCACCTCTAACGAGAACTAATGATTGGATTCGTTCAACGGACTGGCTCGGCTTAGCCATATTTTTTAAATCGTTGAATGCGCTTTGCAAAACCTCGTCTACACGAGTACTCTCGTCTTTGGTGAGATGCTGACGTACAGATTCGTATTTCTCACGGATTGATTCAATTTGAAACTCTAGTTGAATGCATCGTTTTTTCATATGAAAAACGACTAACGATTGTAAGCACTGACGAAGTTGTCGCGTATTTATTGTTGTATTAATCGATACTAACTGTTTCGATACATCTTGAAAAGCGACACAGTTGTAATACTTCTCCAAATTCGTATACTCTGTGCTGATGTGTAAGAAATCAGCAAGTAAATGCAAACGTTTATCGATGAGAATGTTGTTCAGACGTTGATTCAAGCCACTAAATGCTCGAAGTTTTCCATAAGCGTCGCCAAAATAACTGAGGATAATCATTAAAATTTCATCTGGTAATGTTTCGAAGGTTGACGGCATATCATACACTTTTTTCGATGGCAAAATAGCAGTTCTTTTTGTCGTAACGTGCATATGTAGTAATCAAAAACTGTTGTCTTAAACCGTCATATTTTTTTCTTTTTGATTCTCTACTTCCTCACATCATGAGATAAACAATGCAGGCGAACCCGCTTAAATTTTTACCGACAAAAAACCGATTTAACTGTCAGTCTACTTTTTCATTAGAATCTTTTTATACAGTACAGAATTTTACTTCCTTTGACTTTTGATGAACAAGCAGATAAGAAAAGATATGCTTCAACCGGGAATCGAACCCATGACCAAGACTGGTTAACATGACCAATGCTCTAACCATTGAGTGATCGAAGCACGGCTTTCACATATGTTTTCTTTCTGAATGATATTTAATTGTCGAAAGTATTTTAACGTCGATCCAATGTGTTTGACGTACTTGAATATAGCGAAGCTATTTCTTACCAAGTATTATACGATGGTGAATGTTTCTCTCTTCTTAAGAGTAAATATATATTCAAAGGATAGAAAAGGAGTATATGTAATCTTTTTATACAATACAGAATTTTACTTCCTTTGACTGTCGATGATTGAATATCATTCAGAAAGAAAAAGTACTGGTCATGTTAACTAGTCTTGGTAATGGGTTCGATTCCCGGTTGAAGCATATCTTTTCTTATCTGTTTATTCATCGAAAGTCAAAGGAAGTAAAATTCTGTATTGTATAAAAAGATTACATATACTCCTCTTCTATCCTTTGAATATATTTTCATTAGAATGAACAGCAATTTTCAGAGTTAATGGAAGATCCGTGAAACAGATATGGTGGAGCAAGTTTTCATATTTGATTTCAACGTATTTCAGGAGAAAATAATAACACTGCTCTCAATTATAACATATGGGCGTGAGTGTGGGTGTCTCTTTACCCACATTCACCTTCACCCACTCATTCACATCCTTCTCCAAACGATGAGAACCCGAATATAGTCCAGTCGATCATAGTATTCTCAGCGATCACAATGTCAAAATCTTCGTTTATGTGACACTTTCAGTGTAGTTGATGATTTGTTATTATTTAGTTCTGATCATTGATTGTATACACATGATGATGCATAGTTCATCTGTCACTGTTGAATGCGTAACGCTTTCTTCGTCTCTCTTGTATTACTATATATCATTCATTAGCTAATCGTTTACTCTGACAGTACCAAGATATATGTGCTCTCTCATCACTGGCATTACTATTATTAATAGATTCTTTCCTTTCTTCTACTTCCTTGCGTCATCTCTCTCTCTCCTTCTTTTGGCATATATAAACGGGTATTTTCTATGTAAACGACGCGACTGTATGATATGAAGGAACATAATAAAGTGTTATTCCATCTGCACTAACACTTCTTCTATCAGAAAATCGTCAGTTTACATTATTGAATACTTAGATCATGATGGACTAGCACGTGGCGCACTGATTAATGAATCATTTCGACGCAGTCACTTGATTGAAGTCAAATGATTTTGTTTGCACAATTGTGTGTGGATGTAGAGGTTGGTGAAAATGAAGAGAAGGCTAATTGCCAAAAATCATCCGGACATCGACACACACACACGGTAGGTCAAAAAGAATGAATAGGTAAGTCCTTTCAAAGATGTCGACGCTGTGAATGTCTGGTGTCACCAAGAAGCTGTTTCTTGAAATTTTTCAATGAAACACCTTAGCTATTTTGCTTTCAAGTGTTTTTACTATTTAAGTTTTGGTGAATTGGTTATTAGTTAAAAGTAACTCTCGCTAAAGTATACCTTCGTCACAGTATATTTTGCCGAAAGTTTTTTGCTTGAGACCATTACGCTTATTGATTCTTCACTGGACGTACACTATGCCAGCGAGTGGCTGTGGGTGTGGTTTGAAAATGATGATATCTACTTCATTTACACGCTTATAGGCGACACACCAGAACTTACAGGGCAGCAATTGTTTTCCATGAAAAAGTTGGAGGAGCAATAGGCACTTATTATTTTTCTTACTGTCTGTGCTTTGTCAATATTGATACAAAGTGAAATATACATTTAAATTGAACTTCACCACGCATATGAATCTGAGCAGCACATCCACAAAGTAACAAATATATGACGGCTTCATCTGGAAAATTTTCTTTTCGTCGCTCATGCCTCCACTCGCCAACATGCACACCCCAAAATCGTGGAATCTACGGGTTTTTTCTTTTAATGCTAATTATTGGCTACCATGTATCGAAAAAAAAACATAGAAAATCGATCCCACAACTTTCTTGTTCCAAGTTAGAACAAGACAAAGCGCGAAAGTATTTTCATTGGCAAAAAATCATATTTACTGATTTTAAAAGTATTAAAATTTAATGTATTAAAGCACATTCTAAATTTTATTCGGCATATATATTTCCAAGTAAATACTTTGCTCTATCTGTGTGTTGAAAAGTTAGGCTTCCCACATTTTCTATTCGAACACATCTTACCTCGACATTTGTACCGATACTTATATAAAGTAAGTTGTACCTGTCTCTGAGTTTTCTTTAAGATATTCAAGATCTAATAAAGTATAAATTGATAATAAAAAACTACGGGTTTGATCAGAATGTGTATAGAAATAGTAATTATTTAATGTATTTATGTAATAAAATAAGAAGCAAATTTTTTACAACGAACGGGCTTAATACATAGTTAACGTATATAATCAGAGTAGTATTTCGATGCTTTCATTTTTATTTATTTCAATATAAAATCAATGATACAAAATTAAAATGAATTTTTAGTATACTTATCATAATATTCTGACATCAATAGAACAAATAAATAAAGGTGTTATGATACTGGCGAGCAAAAGACTCAAAGATAACATAAAGTATTGTGGTATACGGTATTGTACGTGATGGTGAAATTCATATTAAAAGATTGCTCATCTTGATTGTTTAAATGATATTTTAAATAAAAACAAGCATTTGATGATAATGCTGAAGATGAAAGCATCGAACTATCACGATGATTATAAGGTCTTTAGCAGCAAAAAGAAAAATTAGTTTTTATTTATTTCTACTAAATTCTTTAGGAATGTTTGTCAATTTTTTTCTATTGACAATCTCCAACCACACGAATATTCAATTGCTTGTTGTTCTTATCTGTTTATGTTTTAATAGAGAACAGCATACGTTTACACTTAAATGAATGTTCGAAAAATGCATTAAGGTGTTGGAGCAGCTAATAGTGGTAAACAAAGTGCTTGACATGGTGGAAAACATAGTGGAGCGTCTGCCACCACCGTTCCGACTGAACATCCTGATAAACAAGCAGCAGTACATGCAACATAAGCCAGAGGTTCAGCATTCACTGATAAAATAGTTGATAATAATAATAATACCAAAACGAAATATTGAATAGACATTGTTTCTATCAATTAAAAAAAAAGATGATTATAGATTAGCGGAAAAAACATTTAATACATTTCTTTTTTAGTGCGCAGAGTTGGTCGTTATTATTTGTAATTCACTATGTAATTATAATACTAAGTATTCCATTTTTTTAAATACTTAGGGCATACCAAAAGTCTTTCCGGAACTATATCAATTTCTTATAGAATGCTTGAAGAAATTTTCTTTTTTTATGTAGTGATAGAGAAAACGATGCTCTATTTTTTTATGCTATTTGATCAATCTTCAACTAATATCATCATAATAAAATTTTGATAGGAACTGTTTTTGTGTAAAACTTAACTAACGGGTGCGGCAGAGTAAATGTTTCAATCACTTAATACATTGTATTAAAAAATAAAATATACCACAAGATGCAGCGTGAAAAGCTCTGCAATTTACATAAGACCGCTTATTTTATAGTTGCATTCTTTGTTTTCAAAATGAACAAAATTTTGAGCGATCAAATTTCGATCTTACGAAAATGATATTTTTTGGTAGAAGATGAATTCATTTTTTCTTATTTCATCTTTTTGTCACCTGATATCTTTTATTTAAAAAAATAAAATACATCACAAGATGCCGCCTGAAAAGCTCTACAATCTACAAAGTAAAGATTATTTTAATTGTGTATATCTCATCAAAGAAACCAAAATTCTGTGCGACCAATTTTCACCGTCCCGAAAAAATTATGCGAAGAGAAATTCCGTTTTTTTATTTCATATATAAAATAAACTGTTCTTTATAAATTGTAGAGCTTTTCACGCTGCATCATGTGGTATATTTTATTTTTTAATACAACGTACTGAGTGATTTGAAAATTGAAATGCAAAGCGTATTAATCTGTCTCATCTGTTAGTTAAGTTTTACACAAAAACAGTTTTTGTCGAAATTTTATTATTATGATATTAGTTGAAGATAGATCAAATAGCATAGAAAAATAGAGCATCGTTTTCTCTATCACTACATAAAAAAAGAAAATTTCTTCAAGCATTCTATAAGAAATTGATATAGCTCCGTAAAGACTTTTGGTATGCCCTAAGTAGTTCGATTGAATGGCATTTTCCAATCTTGTATAATCCATTGATTGATTTGTTTTCTTATTGCATAGAAGAAAATGGTAAA